GTGTTACAAGCTAATTTAACTCTGTTTACATCAAATCACATGCATTATACATCTAGTTCTGTGAATTAATTTATGAGTTAAACACGAAAGATCATAAAACAAGCATTATAACTTATGGCTACGTCCAGTTTTAGAACAACAGAGACATGCAAACCAGTTTACTTTTAATCCTTATACATTCCTGGAATTGTGTTAGATATGCAAAGAACATGAGCCAAAGGGAGAGAGTTAGGAATAGAACTTGCCTTTGAGATTTGGGTTCAAAACCTCTGCGTTGTCTTCCTAAATTCTCCGGTGACTCCTACTATCCTCAACTCCTCTGTTTCCTCCTTGGTTCAGCACACGAACAAACACTCATTTGCCAAACCCTAGGTTTCCTCTCTATTTTCCTCTTAAACCTCTCTCTGTTTTGCTCTGCCTCTAGTACGTGTATAGGGTTCTAAAACCCTTGGCAGATTATATATGTATATATATAGGGTTATAAAAACTCAACCCTAATTCTAATTGTAATACAAGAATGCAACCGACACAATAATTAATTCTATACTAAGTCGGCTATATAAAAACGTGACTACCTAGAAACAAAACCCTAAATAAATAATTGAAACAAATAAAACTAATTTAATTAAACAACTAATTAATCAACCAATTAAATTAAAATAAATAAACAATTAATTTAAATAAAGTTAAATCACAATTAAATAATTACAGCAAAATAAATCCACAATTAAAGCAAACCAAATAAACCATTTCAATTAAACACTTCATCAATTAAGCAACAAAACACATAAGTCACATAATTAAATAAAAATACGATAAAAATCAAAATTAAATTCCCATTTTATCCTTTTAAAAACTAGGGGTATTACAATTAACTACAATGACCTCTTCTTTTTTTCTTTTTTTTTTCGTTTCCACATTTTGGACTTGTTATCTGGTCAAGTCTTCGAGTTCATCATTGACGCACTAGGTCATGGGATTACGGGTCGTCATAGGTGGTATCAAAGCATCCAGGGTCGAAAACCATGGATGACGGGTTGGGTTTACAGCATGTAGGATTCTGACTCGGCATTTTGTATGCTTATATGTTTACATGTTTTAAACATCTATTATGTGACATTGTATGACCTATATTTTTTTGTGACTTGCTATTCATTTCATTCATGCTTTCATTTGTTGAGTTGCATGGGGTAGAGATCATTAGGGATGTTAATTGACGTACATCTGTAATTAATCACCTTCTTTGATGCTTTTGGTTTTGTGTGACCTAGACGTACTAGGGTGGTGTATGAGGGGCATGAAGTTTCTCATTTAGTATTCATGCATTGTTAGATACATTATTAGAGAAGCATGTTATTTGCTATATTTGTATGTTATTTGCTTAACATGATTTTATTTAAAGTAATGAGCATGACGCATCATTATATGCTAGTTGGTGGTTTCAACTGTCGCATGTTATGTACTTCGTGTTCTATGGTATATGTTATTTGTTGAACTTAATTATGTGTCAGTGTTTAAAGTGGTTTTGTGCTATATGGCAAGTATATTTGATATGACTTGCATTATTTGTTTCAATCTTGACATATTGATAGGTAGTAAAACATGTTTTATGTGGTTCACTTAATACTTGTATAAGTATATAATCTAGTTGTTGTAATATATGCTACGTGTTTAGCTTGCCTATGTGTAGAAATGAAGGTGTACTACGTACTTAACATGATTGTGGAGATAACATGAGGTGTGACTATGCAAGATGTTTATTTTGAAATTTTGTAATGTGATGCATATGATTTTGTTATGATTAAATGCTTATTTGGTATGTTACCTTGGCATTGTGCATTGTTCATATTAGGTTGGGGATGGATGTCTGTGAGAGATATATGAGTTGGTATAAGGATTTTGGACACATGGTTATCACTTTAGGGTTGTCTCTTGAGTAAGAGGGGTTTATTTTTGCTAGGCCTATACGACGGGAGCCTTTTGTTGTGTTTCGTCGGTTCAGTGGTTTTAAGACCTTGGGGTGGTGTTTTTTGTGTAAGTTTGAGTAATTTTTTTTATTTATTTTTTCCTAAATGTGGAGATTTTATAAATAAGAATGTCCATTACAATAATTTTAAGAAGGCATACCTTCTTTTACAAAACATGAGCTAGAATAAGCCCATTTCCAGTAGTCACCAAGCAACATCAAAAACATTAGAATGTAAAAGTAGTTAACAAATCATGTAAACTAAAATTGAGATATGCAAGCACATCCCAAATGATGGATTGAACAACATACTCAGCCTCATCTTTACAACCATTGTGAAGGGCTAAGTTTCTCATTAACCAAATCTTCCATATAGTGGCAGTGAACAGAGCGCACAAGATCTTGGACTTAGTATTATGTATGCTAGTTTGTACCATAAACGAATCCACAATCTCACTAAGAGAGCTGACCCTTGGCCACTGTAGGTTAATTAAAGTGAACAGCTTACTCCAAATAACTTTGGCATACATATAATTATAGAAAAGGTGATCATTAGTGTCTTCATACTCAAAGCAGTTGTGGCAAATAGCTGTAAGGATAAATCCTCTCTTCTTGAGGTTAACCAGTGATAAATTCTTGTTATGTAAAATAATACTGACTCCCATTGAAACCCTTGGTCTACAGCCTTTCCAACAAAGTTAGCTCTAATTAACTTTCTATTTTTTAGCTCTACAAACATTCCATACAGATTTTAATGAAAAAACCCCATGCCTCCAAGAAATAGTATCATTACCAGCCCTTAAAGCAATTCTGTGAATAACAGTTCGAACCTCAACAGCATACTGTAAAGGTATACACCAAATTCCATCTGCAATGAAGACAACTACTGTCTCAGCTCTATTAATATGCTTAAACATAGTAGCACCAAATCTTTGAATCAAAATTTGATTATCACACCAAGGATCAGTTAACAATTTGAAAGACAAACCATTCCTAACCTTGAAGTCAATATTATCCAATAAAATCTGTCTAGCTTCAAGAATTTGCTTCCAAATTGTTAAGTCACCAACCCTTGCAATCATATTCCAAAAAGAAGACCTTTTTAAATAAATAGCTTGAAGCCATTGAATCCAAAGCTTGTCCTTTTTCTGCAGGAAATCCCAACACAAGGTGATTTTTGTAGCAACATCAACGTCTTTTATTTTTCTGATGTTAAAACCCCCTTCATCCACAGGGACAGTAATAGAGCTCCATTTTACTTGAGAAATTTTCTTCAAGTCTTGCTTGCCACTCCAAAGAAAATGTTTAAACCTCTTCTCCAGCTGATTTGTAATTCCCTAAGGAACTTTAAAACCAAACAAGCAGTGATACAAGTAGGAATACAGAACTGATTTAATCAATTCCACTCTACCAGCCAAAGACAAATTAATAGTGTTCTAATGAGCTAATCTGGCATTAACTTTGTCCAACAAGCTACTGAAATCTCCTGCCCTTAACTTGTGATTTGACAGAGGTAAACCAAGATATTTAAAAGGGAATTTTTCAGTTTGAAATTGAAAAATAGCAGCCAGTCTTCTCTTGCATCTAACTGATTTTGACAAATATGACAGAGCTTTTCTCTTGACTAACCTGTAAACCAGATGCATCTTTGAATTTTTTGAACAGTTCTGCTATAGTTTTGCTGTTGAGATATCAGCCTTAACAACCATCAGAAGGTCATCAACATAAAACACATGAGAAATCTTCAGACCTGTATTGACCACTGGTTTGCAAACTTTAATCCTCCCACTATCAATATACTCAGTCATTAAAGTGATGAAATATTCAGTAACTAAAGCAAATAACAGTGGTGATAAAGGGCAGCCTTGGCTAATCCCTCTAGAAGCTGAAAAATAACCTGCAGGCACACCATTGCATAAAACAGAGAATTTTAAAGAAGATATACAAGCTATAATCCATTTTATCCATTGATCACTGAACCCATGAGCCTTCAGCCTGCTTAAAATAAAACTCCAATCAACCGAGTCATAAGACTTCTTCAAATCAACTTTTAAAGCCATATTAGAATCACCAAATTTCTTTCCAAAATCCTTTACCAGATCTGAAACTAATAGAATATTATCATGTAATCTCCTATTCTTAATGAAAGCAACCTGCTCAGGGCCAACCAAATTTGGTAAAACATCACTCAATCTGTTGGCTAAAATCTTGGCAATGACCTTGTAGACCAAATTGCATAAAGCAATATGTCTATAATTCGAGACTTTATCAGCATGATTCAATTTGGGGATTAAAGCAAAGAATGTAGAATTGATACCTTGAGGGAATTAACTAGTGTTAAAAAAGAACAACACAGCCTTAATCACATCTGCCCCAACCACACTCCAATATTTCTGAAAAAATCTAGCTGGGAAGCCATCTGGTCCTGGAGCTTTGTTGGGATGGAATCCCATTATCACTCCCTTGATTTCCTCAACAGAAAAAACATTTTCCAGCATACAACATTCCTCTTGATTTAAGCTCTTCCTAGCTAGAGTAGAATCTTGTAAAATACCCCCTCTGTGTTTGTAAAGATCAGTGTAAAACTGAATCAACCACTCTTTATTGACATTAGGATCAGAGGAGACATCCCCATTCACATTCTCTAGCTGAGTAATAGCACTTTTCCCTCTGCGTAGTTTAACAATATTATGGAAAAGGCTGTACACCTGTCGCCCTCCTTAATCCATTTAATTCTAGATTTCTAAGCCTACAAAATCTCTTCCAGATCAAGAACATGCTGCAGATGTCCCGAGGCTTCCCTTTCTATGTTTATACTATCTTGAGTAGCAGGCTGCAAAATCATCTCCATTTGAATTTTGTGTAAGCTATCCCTTGCTCCTTTAACTTGATCTGAAACACTTCCAAAATTCTTATTCCATTATTTAACTGTATTTCTTACGGCCTTGAGTTTCTGTTGCAGGACGTGGAAGGGATTACCTGCCCCTACCTCTATGGACTCCCAAGCTTTTTCCACAATGTTCTTCATCTCTTCTTACATGCACCATATTTTCAAGAACTTGAAAGGTTTTGGCCCTTCTGAACAATTGAGGTGCCAATTGATTCTCAGTCCATAGTGATCAGATAATGAGGTAGGAGTAAAGTACGCCTTTGTATCAGAATATTGCTGCAGCCACAATTCATTAGTTAGAACTCTGTCAAGCTTGGCATCAATTCTTGAACTCAGATTTTGTTTATTACACCAAGACCAATCCCCATTATTAATAGGGATATCATCCATCTTTAGATCATAGATAACACTATTAAATTCATCCAATCTGCTTTGAGGAATTCTCAAACCTCCCTTCTTCTCAGAGTTGAATGGAACAATGTTCCAATCTCCTAAAGCTATCCAAAGACCATCAAGTATAGCAGCTTACTCCTTTAAATCCTTCCATAACTCCCTTCTTTCCCCAACTCTATTAGCAGCATAAATAGCAGTGACATAAATAATTAAACCAGATTGCAAATGCTTAACCTATAATAGCATGGATTGTACATCTTCATGCAGTAAAATAACATCAAAAATGGATCCATTCCATCTAACCCAAATCTTTCCCAAGTAATTAGACCTGTAATTAGCTAACCAAGTCCAATGAGGACAAATTTTCTTTTGTATTCTAAAAGATTTACCTTCCTTAACCCTAGTTTCCACAAGGACAGCTAAAGCGAACTTTTGATCTGAAATCCATTACTTAACTTCCTTCTACATTGGAGGTCTATTAAGACCTCAGACATTCCAAACCCCTAACATTCAAAGGGTTGTGACAGTGACCCACTGCCTACATTTTTTCCTCTTGTCACTCTATTTGAAAGGGGAGTAACAGGTTTGTTTCTCTTCCTTGACTGTTTTCCTCCTCCTAAAGTTATATCATCTAATAAAATAACATTCTCCAATTCCTTTTCTGTTGTTTTACACTGGTGTTCTACCTTAACCTTAACTGGAGTCAAATAAGTAGTGTCAACATCTCTGCTATCTGCATCCTCCTGCAAATCTTCATCATACACACTATTTGGCACCACAGAAGAATCATCCTTCTCCATATCAACACCATCCACCTCTTGAACCTGTTGCTGAAGGGCAACCTTAGGTATAATCTTAATTTCCTTCTGAAGACTTGAGATACTTGGAGAGTCAACTTTAGATTCAACAAGTTATTGTTGTGGGATAACATTAACCTCCTCCATAACAAGACTAGTAACATTTTCCAACTCCTGGGCCACAGCTTCATTATCTTCTAACAAGGCAAAAGAGTTCTTCGTAAAAATAGTATTGTTTGTTTGCAGATCTTTCACAGGTATATTATCAGTAATCTTGTCTACAATCTCACCTTCGACCACCTTTTTCTTTTGTTTAACCACCCACCTATCCAAAGTTTTTCTAGGTTTGGACTGTAACACTTTCTTTGGACAGTTATCTTTTGTGTGATCCACTCTACTACAGAGTTTGCAAACCACTGGTTTCCATTCATATTCAAAAGATACATCGCAATTAGTGCCATAAATGTCAACTACCATTGCTTTGGGTAAAGATTCCTTAACTTCAACCTCTGCCATAACTCTGACAAACGGCCCTTTATCTCTTATAGTGTCGGGGTCATCCATATAGATAGGCTTTGCAAAGGATGAACAAACTTTAGACACAGAAATCTCATTACAACAGTGAACGGGCAGATTGTAAATACGCAGCCACACCGGTACAGTTTCAAGAACTTTGTTCTGGAAATTTACATTCTTGCACCACTTTTTCAAAATGATTGGCCTTCCTTTAAAAGTGTGGATCCTAGACAAAACTTTCTAGATATCAGCATCGTTCTTAAATCGTACCATGAAAAAGCCATCCTTAAGGTAAACTAGTGTGAAATCTTTGGACTAGTACTTCTCCACAAAAGATTTGAAGTATGGATAGTATGGCTTCCTTCCCATTACGTATCCAATAACAGATGATCATCAATATGCAACTTCCTCAGCCACATCTTCGTTTGTGATGGAAACTTTTGCACTACGACATTCGTGATGATGTTGTAAGTTTTTGAAAGAAGATTGGGATTCATTAAAGAAACTATTATATGTAGGTTTACTGGGGGTAGGGTTCCGGCTTGGAGCTCTTACCGGAGGTGTTGGGGAGGAGGATTGACCCTTCTCCATGCTGTGAACTCCCCTTACAAGCTGCAAACCCTAGCAAGTTTTGTGGCCCTAAAATAAGAGAAAAAGGGTAGTTTGGTAATATAGGAAATTCATAACATGCATTAAGCCTTATGTGTTTAAGTTTAAGTAATGAATTGTAGGAGTGTAATTAATCACTCTCTTTTGTGTCATTTTAGTGTGTGGACATGACGGATGACATGCATGAGATGACTGGGGATGTTGCTAAAGATAGGGCTTGGACCATTTTGCTTGGTTTCTTAAAGTTAAAGCCTCCTTTGTTGTTGAGTGAATAAGGTTCCATCGAGGCGGTCCAATGGGTGGATCAGATTTCGAGGATATTTGGGATGTTACAGATTGAGGATGGAGACATAAGGATCAGGCTTGCCACTTCGCAACTTAAGGGTGTAGCCAGTGTGTGATGGGAGTCGATCATCAATACTCGTGTTATTGAGGGGATGAGCTGGCAAACTTTTCAGGAATTGTTTCTTGACAAGTATTTTCCAATACTAGTTAGAAGGAGTTAAGGAAAAGGTTCATTACTCTAATTCAAGAGAATAAGAGTGTTACGAAGTATTAGACGGAGTTTAGTTTGTTTTCTTGTTTTGCACCGGAGGTGGTATAGACATAGGCTTTAAAGGTTGATAAGTTTGTGGATGGCCTTAGATTTGGCCTAAGGGGTAAGGTGGTGGTCTTGGATTTACTTACCTACTTTGTCATGGTTGAGAGGGCATTATTGGTTGAGATGGAGAACTTGGCGATCAAATTGATTAAACAGACAAGGAAAGAGGGAAGGAAAGAGAAAACGGATTTTGCGGCACGTCGTAAGAATGAGAGATTGACGTCTTTGGTGTCACCTGGGCATGTGCCTATTGGGTGGTCGCGGGCCAACGTGGTTTGTTTTCGATGTCAGCAGTCGGGGCACTATGCAGTTGGTTACCCATCTTCTCGACCTTTATTTGTAGGCGTTGTGAAGAGATACCACAAGTGTGGTCAGATGGGACACATAAGACTGAGATGTCCACCAAAGAGGGATAGTCGTGGTGCTTTTAGGTCACAGTAGGGCTTGTAGAGTCTTAGTTAAACTCATCCATGTTTTGGGATATGTTTTCTGTGTAGGATCTTAATAGTACCTTTGAGAGTCATTTCATTTCATTCTTGATTATGTGGCATTTCAAGTATGCCTTAGAACCATATCAAGGATATGTAGCTATGTGTTGGTTTATGTGATGATAGGAATGATGCATTTCTTACATGTTATATTTGTTTACCATGCTAGTATCATTAGTGATATGTAGCATGCCATTGTTTATTTGGTCTCTATTCGATAGATGGATTTGTTGTTTGCCTTATGTGGACTATTTGGCATATTTGTAAGGTTTTATTTGGATTACAAGATATGATATTCTAAGTATGTGTTGTGTGAGTGTTGAGTACATACATGGGTATATTGTGTTACACTGGAGTTGCATGCATGGTGTACATTATCGGGATTGTGACGTGGTCACTATACATGGTTATTTTATGATGAGTGGCATGGTCCTATATTGGCATTTGTATATTGACATTTCATTGATGGGTTTTATCATGACATAGGTTTATTACATTATCATATAGGTTATTACCTAGGTGTATGTGACTCAAAAATAACTATATTATCATATGGGTTGTTACCTGCTGGCATATGACTCGAAAATAACTACGTATATCATGGTGTTCATACAACTTTGCCATTTCGTGCACTGATGCATGGGGTTTTATGACCTTGGTCGTCGGGATTATGATATGTGAGCTATGGGTTAGACTTAAGGTTTTTGAGGATTCGGTTATCTATAATAGGGATTTTGATTCAGCGCCGTGGTTTTTTGTGTGTTGCCTTATGATGGGTCTATTTTGGAATGGTGAGGTTTTGTACAGTTTTGTGACCATTGAAGGCTTTTTTAAAGGGTTTGGTTTTTGAGCTATATTGGAAGACTTGTTTGACACTTATATTTCGAATTCATTTGGGGGTTGGTCACATTTATGACAGTTAACTATTTTGTGGTGGCTTTTCCTTTCGATTATCTTGTAGGGAGATTTTGTTTAACGAATAGGTTCGAGATGTAATGCTTGATTAGGAGACTTATGGTATTAATGAAACCTTGCATATAGAATTTTCAATGGAATGTCATATGATGAAGATCATTGTAATTTCCTGGCATTGAGGTTTTGCGATTATGACAGGTTTTTATTTGTATAGCTTATGAAACACAAATTTGTGAGGTTTCTGATTCGTTATTTGGGAGTTATGTGATAGGGATGCTGAGGATTCCTTGATTTGATTAAAGTGACTTAACCTAAGAGTTTTGTGACATGAAAGTTGGTGAATTTTTGTTGCATTAAGGATTTCATACCTTAAGCGTAACGGTACCAACGATATAGTTGTTAAAGTTTTAGGATTGGCGAATATGGTCTAGCTAGACGTTTTTGGACCATACCTCAATGATGAGCCCTAAATATTATATATTCGAGCCCCTAAATATACTTATGTTAAGACCTAAAGTGATACTTCTATCCATTGTTAGACTGATTTATGTTTAATATGTGTTTATAGGTACTTTCTCAGAGAAACGGTTAAAACCGGGACTTTATGATGAAAAGACTGATATCGAAGCTTACAAAATTGTTGCCGGTCATCCAGAGCAAGCTGAGAGTTTAAATGGTGAAGTTTGGAAGAATTCAGGATCCAAAGCTCAAGCCCAAGTCTTGAGGCTCAAGCCCTGCACAAAAAAAAAAAAAGAAAAATCAATAAGGCATTGAAGCTCGAGCCTTGTACCTCTAGAGCTTGAGCCCTGCTCAGTGGTGCTCGAGCCTAACCTCCAGGTACTCGAGCCTTGGCCCTCAAGCTCGAGCACAAGGCGTCGAAATTTGAAGAATTGATTTAATAGAAAAACCAACCTCCTAGGGCCTCATGCCAGACCTCAAGGATCGAGCACCATCATCAAAAGCTTGAGCCTTGAGTACCCAAAGCTAAAGCCTGGTGCCCAGAGCTCGAACCCATAAAGCTTGGATCGAGCAATGTTAAAAGAGATGAATCCCAAAATATTCTAAGTGTTGAAGGAAAAGATGCTTCGAAAAATAATTGAAGAAATTTGGCTAAGTGTCAAAGTGAAGATCGAGCACCATTCCTTGAAGCTTGAGCAATAATTCAATGAAGCTCGAGCCTTGTTCCCAAAGCTCAAGCCCAAACCTCAAAGCTCGAGTTCTACTTCCTAAAGCTCGAGCCTTCCATTACAGATCAGATTTAAGTTACGGGATTATTCTCTTTACAAGTCGTATCTCATTCTTGATGGGCCAAAAGACCTAAAAGTCCACCCGATCTTTATTTTCTTTTATAAAAGAAGGCACAGGCCTTAATAGAAGAAATTCATTTTCTCGTATTATTCAGAAGGCTGATACTGTGGTGGAGGCTTTTAGGGTTTCCATAACCTTAGAAGGTGAAAATCTTGAGAAGAGAAGTGATGTCCGTGACGATGGAAACGACTACAATACAGATGATATTCGGCATCGTCATGAGTAGCTAATTCCTCTCTTAGGGCACTGATGTAACCCAATCTAGTACTATGGTTTGATTGTTTTTAACTCTGGGATATTTTAATATATATTATGTTTTTGATTACATGATTATGAGCAATTGAGATAACTCAATTGGATTTAATGCTTTAAATAGTTTTCAAATTGTTATTACCTTGTCTTAGATATAACTGTTTGTTTTCTATTCTCAACCTATTCTTATTGAACGGTATCCGCCGGAGCCCTGCCAAACATAAGAATAGAGGTCATGTAATGGTGTTCCAATGTTTTTTATAAAAGAATGTTCTCATAGTCTATGCTTAGGAAAGATAGATTATTTACAAATTAGTTAAAGTAGTTAAAGTAGGTAGGTGGATAGTCCATGCTAACCGCAGATAGGTTATAGTTAACTGCATTTTATAAAACATCTTTCTTTAAATTGAATGAATATTATTGAGTTCAATTCATTTAAAATATAATTTGTTAAATCCTCAGAGTTGAAACTGTTAACCATAGTATGAAGGTTGTGGTGAAGTCAAAGCCCTAAGACATTTCTCTCTCTGATCACTCTAGTTTAATTTTAGTTTATAATCATGACAACCAATCAAACAATTCAACCAGTTGCTTGTAAACCAATAGAGATTAATTAAAAGCAGAACATAATACCTCATCTCCCTATGGGTTTGACACCCTCTCTATAGTGCTATTCTACAAAGATTCGTACTGTTGTGAGTGATTATTTAAAATTTAAAAAACAACAAAACACTCAACTCTCACAGAATGCCTGGTTATCGTAGTGCTTTTGGTAATGATTGTTTATGACATTAATGTCATTTGTTTCAAGAGATTTCACGGGTAAATTTAGTGGGGGTATGGATGAGCTAGTGTTATATACTATCAATGTTACC